TACATTAGTCTATTATCTATAAATATTTCATGCCAGATAACTTACATTCTATATTTCTCACTAATATTTTCAAAGACTTAATCTTTCACCACCAGGGGCACTTGTTTCTCTCTCGTTAAGTATTTAAATGGTTTTATTTACTATTTTCTAGGTGAATCTACCTACCTCCTCCCATTCAAATACCCAAGGTAACATATATGTTTAAATCGCTCCACCGCTTCAATTATTTAGAATATACATATAAGCTTTATAATGTTCTTAGTTCACATATATATGCGTATGAGCATGTATAAGCAACTGTGCCTATACGTATCTTTCATAAGGAATTCTCACTAAAACATATTACATTTATATGCGACGTCTATTCGAACAGTTATGTTAGTGTATATCTAAGACTCAGATCGTTAAGGACAGCTATAAATCACGGTTCGCTGTCATTTCCACTTGATGCTGCGGAGAGCTAATCTCGAAGCGCTATTTCTGCACCGCTTTGTTGTAGAGCAATAATCTGAATTCTTTTTGAGAAATATATGGTTCAATCGTTTCAAAACACGTAAAGTAGAATTACATGGAGCATTTACACATTTCGTGACCTACTTAACAATTTTGGTGCTCAGGTGTTAGAATGAAATCAGTAACCGAATAGAAGGTATGAAAACAGTTTATCACACTCCAATTGAAACGCCTATATATCATAACACACACACACACACACACACACACAGGTGGTGGACATATTTTCAGTATCTGAAATTTCTCGAGAACATTTTTATTTTTTGGCGTGGCCTGGTGATCTGGGCACTTGACTTTCAGTCTTGATGTCGCGTGATTTAAACCCGTAACTGAACACCCTCGTTTTTGGAGCCGTAGATGTGTTATAATGCAACGATCAATCTCACTATTTGTTGATAAAGATACTCCAAAAGTTTCCGTTATCTAGTTGCTTTCCCTCTGGCCTACAACTTCAAAATTAGGGACTGCTAGCGTAGATATCCCTCGAGTAGCTTTGTGCACAATTCAACAAAAACAAGCATAAAAAATTCAAATTTTAAAATGAAATGTAGCTTGTGTGTAATGCTCACAGAATATTGTATTCCCTTTTAAATGTTAATTTTACAAATTTATTATTTCATAGTATTTTTTATTTTACGTATGATAAATAAAATAGACGTGTGTCATTTGGGGAACTCTATGAAGTTCAAAGTAGTTATTTTCAATTTCTATCACGGAAATACAAGTTAAACTAAAAAAAACTGAAATAAAATAAATATTATATTGACTGAATTTCATTCAAATTGCATATGCAGTGAATGAGCTGTTGTGTTTCGTTAAATTTGCATACCCCGATTTACAAAACAAATTATCCACTAACTGTCCACTACTTTCGAGTCTAACCACTTTTTTTGTCATGGTAATACACTGGGCTCGTCATGAGAAAGATTCTACACATAACAAAAAAATGTATTTTTCGATTGTAACCCATTTGTTGAAGAGCACAGTTTACGATTAATTCACGATTGTCGTCAAAGTGGTTAATGAAATATGCTGATATACGTCCAAATAATGGTGAACCGGATTAAAACTAAATGATTATATTGGTAAAGAAAATGACTTAAATTACTGGTCATGGTATTTCAACTAATTTCGGACAATAGACTTGTCAAGGAAGATGAATGAAGTCACTCTTCGAACGAAATTCGAGCAATACGAGACCAGTGGATTATTGTGTTACCGGCTTTTTAAAGATCTCATCCAAAAAATACAACACCGTGGAGTGAATGGGATCGGAAACAACATCCAAACAGGCTATAAGTGATATTCTTCCTTCTAAATGAATGAAAAGACCTAAATGTCTCGTGTGTTTACCTTCATATATTTTTCTATTTACTTTTAATATACAAGTAAAAAGTAACTAATCAGACATCATCATGCTGTTCAGTAATTCTTTGTTTCCAGTTTGCGTTCTCTAAGCACTGATGAAGTATACTTCTTCTCTTTGCATATGATTTAAGCTGTTACCTGACTGGTTGTAAGCGGCTATATAACAGTTTGTATAACGTCATTTTCATTATAGGATTATAGATATTCCAACCCTGAACAATGTCGACTGAGACAAAGTCTAATTTTTTTTTTACATTTACAAGCCTATCCAATAATATTTTCCTTTGGTCACACATCAGTAGATGGTGGCTTAATGTTTGTTTGTTTTTATTGGAAAACGTGTTCTATTTCAGTTTCCACAGTTGATAGATTCGCGATAGATATATTTGTACAACTTGTCAGAGAAATGATCTTTGATAAATAGTTCCTACAGGAAAAGGCACCTCGATTATACGAAATTCGGAAAGATTCTTGCTCTTACTGAAGGGTTAGCAAAGTAACCATAATAAAACGGACAGTCAGTGTACTTAAAACATGTCATAAAAAATAATTTTTCTCCAGTTGTAAATTTTTATTGAGAACGTTATTTATTTAGGGCTTCTGTTTAAATTTATTCTTCTTATGAAATTGATTAGTTTCATTTGTGAAACTTCAACGCTCTACTAGTAGCAGCTTATCGCTCTTTTTTACGTCTCGAAACATTGTACTTACTATTTCTAGATCACTTATTTGATCAGTTATTGTCTATTTCTGATAACTTATCTTACCATAGCTGATATGATTTGTGGCTTTCAAATATTCTGGTTTGGAACAGGTGTTAATGTCCACATTTATCAAATCATTATGGAATGGTCACGTAACAATTTCAACAAGTATTTTTTTCCTTAAGTGAATGATTCAAGTTAGGTTTTGGCTTCATCTATAAACGTACCAAGATATATCTTTAACTAATGAGCAAAACTTATTTTTCTTCAGAAACTTATAAATCCAAACTCATATATTCCAAAGGATACTTTCCATAGCGTAGCCCAATTTTACACCCAACTACTAACAATATCATTTTATTTGAAGCTTTAAATTTAGCCCACGCTTTAATTTCGATCACATACAGAAACATAATTTCACTTTTGAAGCTGACCAATATGTGTTACAAGTGAAGTAACTGCTTGACTTTGATTTACACCGACTGAGATTTCTCTTGGTTTATACAAAGACTTGTTTTAAGAAAATGATTTTTAGGTGTGTTTGTTTTCCATTTATTATGGCGAAATATCCTACAAATTCTTATCTTGGAGTTTGTATTACTCCTATGTTTTTTGCTAAAGATTATAAAAAAATATTACATGCAAAGATTCTTGAATATAATTTATTCTTATTTGACCAAGATAATACTTTTTAAAGCAAAGGAATTAAGGCCACTAACAATTTAATTAGCATATGTACCAGTTTAAATGTATAGTAACAATGCTAGAGAACTGAAGAATAATAGAATATGGGAAATTTATATCCATGTTTGGAATAATTTGATATTTGAAAAGTATTTATACTTAAAATGTTTAATATGCCATTACACTGAGTTTGATAATAAGAATAATATATTTACAAAAAAAGTTTGTTTGTTGTTAAGCGCAAAGCTATACAATGGGTTATCTGTGTTCTATCCGCTGCAAGTAACAAAACCCAATTTTTATCGTTATAAGTCTTCAGACTTATCGCTGAATCACCAGAGGGCATTTAAAAAGGTATTAATATAACACCAGTATTAAAGTTAACGCATCTGACATTACGAATTTAAGAAAAAACGGACCACTTTCAGTGATATATATATATGAGGAAGTAAACTAGAGATCTTATAGGATACTTAGTTAAAGTGCACTAGCTCGTTAATTAGATGTCTTTATTGATAACGGTGTGTTATGTCGTACTAACACTTCACGTAATCGGACCAGCTTATTCGACTAATATTAAGCCCAATTATTCTTTACTGAAATCAATAACATGATAGTGCTTCTATATTAATTATACATACATATATATATATATTACTCTTTTATATATATTCTAGAGGGTATTGAAATTCTCTCACTCTCAGTCAATTCTTAATATTTCAAGGGACAGACGCACAAGACATAATTTATAGTGGTCCACCCGACATAAGACGATTAAGAAAATCATATTTGGAAAATATATTGAACTAAAGGATTATCATAACATTTTTGGACATTTTATTTAATTCGGAACTTTGTCGTTTAGTAAATAAAAGATATATTTTTCATAGTTTTTAATTATTAAACTTTATTCTTGATATTCATACGGCTGTAAGTATCTTTAATATATAAGCTGTTTTGTTTTTCTGGAAAATTTTCTATAAGCTAGAAATTCTTATCAAAAGACGAAAAATAGCACACACCATTATTCGGTGTTTAACATCTTAGAAGATAAAAATAATGTGAATAAGTCATCGTCAGTTCCTAATCTCACAGCCTTTCAACACCAATAAAGAATTATATCTGATTGATTGCACATGCCAAGTTATTTTTAATAGTTTCACTGCCACTAACATTTTAGATCTGGAGTTTTCACCCAAAGAGTGGTCAGGCGTCAAAGTGTAATGTATGACAATAGATGAAAGTATCTTTATTATCTATTAGTATTTTAGTCTTTAAATGTAATGTTCTGTTTTATTTTCCATGCTGTCTTCGGAAACACCTGTTGCAATTACTCTGCACCCTAATAAACTAATAGATATTCAAACACCAAATGTTAACTTGTTTCTGTAAAGATGTTTTATCCTGCAAGGAAAGTCCGTGGTCATGCGAATAAACAAACATTATTTTCCAACTTCTTAATCAAAGATTGAGGTGCTACTAAGGTATAATTAAATATTGAATGAATTTAATCACAAGCAAAGTCTAACTTGATGAATATTACAGCATTTTCATTTGAATTAACGGGTTTAAGTAACCAAAACTAAAATATCAAATAGGATGTTGTTAGTTTCATTTTACTTTTCAAAGTAAACCTAAAAAACATATATATATAAGATGATATACAAGGAACATAAAAAATTATGTAAATTTCTCCAATAAAAAGACAAAATCAGTATGACTGATACGTACCTTCCGGACGGGAATATCCGTTTCCATGACGATTCCCATGTCCATACCGTCCTGGATGTAGTAGCTGCAATGAGGGACATTTAGCACTATAATACTTTCTCTTGTTCTGGTGGATGGGTCTTGGCGAATGATATAAGCATTCCAAGATACGTAACGAAGGTGATTACGTGGCACGTGATGTAGGTCACAATAGAATAGTTTTAGTTTTACTAACTCTCCTTCCAGATCAGATTCAATGCACCATCCTTGTTTGTCACGATCGTAGCAGTTCACGGATGTGTTGGGGTCTCGGACAGTGGCTACTTTAGCTTCACTGATTGTATTAGCACAAATCATCTCCACGTGAACTTTGAGCAGTCCTCGTCGTGTCAGATCTGTAACTTGGCATCGAAGGGAGAACCCGCGGATCCGACCGGCAAGATCGGATATCTGGTCTAGAGTACCGGAATCTACCCTGCGATCACCTTCTCCCAAAACCACCCTATAGCGAACACGACAGGGATGCTCAAATCCTGTAAGACGATTAAGAAATACACGTGGCCGGGCCCCACTGTCCAGATCATTTTGGCTTCCGTGGGGGAGAAGGGAGATATTCCATTCAAAGCTACCGAATATGAAGTAAGCTGTCTCAAATTTGCTGCTCTTTGAATGAGATCCCATTAAATGGTGCGGAACCTTTATTTCGCCTTCAAAGACAGTTTTCACGTTACCCACGGAGAGTTCGATAAGAAACTCTTCATTTTCGTCAGTAAATCGGCGAGTACTCAAGTCCGCCATTGGAATCCATTTATTAGTACCATGCGCCGGGTGGTCCACGCTGAAACAACTCTGTTTCTGTGCTACAACCTCGTTTTTACTGAAATGTTCTCTGTTCAATAGAGTGAAAGAAAAGTCTATGTAACATTTAGTTCCCATAGAGGGATTGCGAAGAATCAAGAAAACGCCAAGAAGTTTGTCAGACCGTGTAAATGTTATGGCCCACCTGTGGTAGCCGAAGACAAAGTCTTTGGTGGTAGGATCTCGGTGTAAATCACGCGCTACGGACCGTGTGACAATAAACGTGAAGATGCCGGTGTTCGAGCGGTCGTTCAGCTTAGTAAATCTGTACAGAAGAGCCATCTTTATAGTTGTAATGTGGACCCAAGTAAAGCGTGACTAAAGGGAAAAAATAACAGAAGAACTCAGTGCTGAAAGTTTCAGTATAGACGTTTTGAAATAAAGCCCTACAGTACAGGAAATATGATTTCTTCAATGACACTATACTTTATTTCCACAAGGCGTTAACATAAAAATGTTAAATATAAAATACCTGTATTAAGTAGCATATTAGTAAGAAAATAGCAAATACAATTGTTTTTGTTTGTTTGTTTTTAATTATGCACAAAGCTACACAAGGGCTATCTGTGCTCTGCCCACCACGGGTATCGAAACCCGGTTTCTAGCGTTGTAAGTCCGCAGACATATCGCTGTGCCACTGGGGGGCACACAAACAAATACAAATCGTCGTTGAGGTGTGTATATTTTATTTATAATAGTTAAATATCTGATTGGAAACAGTATCGTGAAGCAAGAGGAACTAGAAATATATGTAGAAAAATACAAATGTTATGCTAATTTTATTATCTAAAGAAAAAATGTATAACGCAAGAGCATCTTTCTACCTTGGGTAATTTTTTTGTTTTTACCGTGAAGCGACTACACTACAAACAGATAGGGTTGTACATTATTATAATACAGAAGACTAAAAACAGGTATACAAATTTAAAACAAAAATATATTACTTATGTAAGAACCATATAATGTTAGGGATATGTCCCCAATTTGATTTAACTTCTAACTACAGCCCTTCAGTGGCTCAGCGGTAAGCCTGTAGGTTTACGACGCTATAATTCAGGTTTCGATTCCCGTGGTGGGCAACGCACAGATAACACATTATGTAGTTTTGTGTTAACAACAACCACAGCTAAACTAATTGAGAGCCCCACATATGTGAAATGAAACAATAGACCTTATATATTAGAAACAGATATGAAAGCTCAGTCCAAGACGTTTCACACCTGAACCACCGCTGATCATCTGCAGAAAGTCGTGAAAAGGTAGTTGGTCCAAATAAAAACAGAAAAGCCGTGAAGCATAAGAGACTTCTAAAAGCATAACACTAGTATAGAAGCTGGCGATACCACAAAATATTCCTTGCACTTTAAGCTGTGGATGCGTCATAAGAGGAACAGTCAACACCAATACCTTAGCATAGATGGTGGGTGGAAAGGTACTACAGACTGGCTGCCTTCTCTGTGGGATAGGAGTTCAAAATCAAGGTAGGCCCAAATAACTTTAACAGTTTTTTTTTATATTTGTTTGTAGAATAAGCACAAAGTTACACAATGGGATATCTGTGCTCTGCTCACCACGGGTATCTAAACCCGGTTTCTAGCGTTCTAAGTCCGCAGACATACCGCTGTGTCAGTTGGGGGCGGTTTGTTATAAGTTTAAAATACAAATACTTTGTTATGAACATCTGTTGTGTTTAAGATTCCGTTTAGTTTATACGTTTAATTCAAACATTTATGTGCCAGATGTGTGGCCTTTTCTCTGTACCTATCCATGTGATTATTTATAATCGTCTTTTAAAAACTAACAGTAATTGCAGGTGTTCTGTTTTGAAAATAGGATCTGCTTATGTAAGATTAAACCTTGTGTGAATGTATTGCAGTATTTATTTACAAACGTTTAAATAAATGCTTACGAGATTTAGTTTGGAGAGCCATCTTACAATTTAGGTCACTCACTTGGAGAAAGAGTCCGACACGGCCAGGTGGTTAGGTTGCTTGACTCGTGATCTGAGGGTCGGGGGTTCGAATCCCCATCCCACCAAACATGCTCGCCCTTTCAGCCGTGGGTAAAACAGTAGCCCAATAGTTTGTGGTGGGTGGTGATGATTACCTGCCTTCCCTCTAGTCTTACACTGCTAACTAGCCTCGCAGATAGTCCTCGTGTAGCTTTGCGCGAAATTCAAAACAAACCAAACCAAACCACTTTGGGAATGGTACTCATTCATCTTGAAAATGATGGATCGTTAAACAATTTTATCGGTTAAATTACACGAATAAAATAGTGTAACTTAAACAACTGTTTAAGTTGTGTGTTTTTTTCAGTGCTTCAACGTGATTGTATAATTTGATTTGATATTGAATAAGATTGTAGTGCTAGTTCTGAGTTTGAATTCTTTTTATTACCGGTGTTGCTAACACACACGCTTGGTAGATCCAACTCACACTCACCTGACACAACTAAGATGAATTATTTATGCAAATGTATTTGTGTATAAATTGACCTTAGATTTGGCGTTGAAATAGTAAACAAGCGCGTTCCTAGAAAAAAAAACAACAGATACCGAATTCGAATTCGTCATATAGGCAGGTCTCTCCAAAAGTGGAAGGTCTTACAGGAAAGACAGCCTTACAGGCGCCGGTATCTACAGTATCCTCTTTATTCATACTGCCATGTTGAGTTTTTAGCATATGTTGTATTGTGCTCATTCAAGCTTAAAATAACCCATTTTGACAAATTTTATTAAATGGCAGTCATTCATAATGGTTACTTAGAACAACAAGGTAAAGAAGTTCAACATATTCGAAAATACTTTAACTTCGTAAAATTGTGAAATAAAAATATCTTAATGTATTTTCAAATTTCTTGAACGTCTTTACCTTGTTTTAAGTAACCATTAATTTAACTTCGTAAAATTGTGAAATAAAAATATCTTAATGTATTTTTGCCACCTTGAGAAACAAAATATTAGTGTTTCATAAATATTTCTCATTGAAATTTTAAGTTCTAAACTTATGAATTAACTACACTTTTATAGAGTTTCCTATATACTTTAATCTTTATCCTAGGTGCACTCTGTGGTGTGTTTTTTGTGCAACTGGTCACACTATCGGTAGCCAGTGGCACTAAATGTTTGTATTATAATGTATATATAATAACATACGTGTGCGGTTTAGCAAACGTTCCCTCATTACAATACCATTTACCATAATGTTCTTTTACTGACTAGTCTGGGGTAGTCCAGGCATTTTAGAATCACACCATAAATAGGTGGACGTGCTGAATTCTGATGTCAAATGTTCGTGAAAAACAATTATGAGCTTAGTTAAATGTTTAGTTTTGAACAACGTTATTATTACAGTGTACCTATCACATTTATATAAAAAGGATTATGTCGATAAAAAAAGAGTTCTGTTAAGTTAAACTATATTTAAATAATAATTGCAGCTTCTTTTGGGTGACACGTTTATTATTTCAGAAGAAGTTAAAGTTTATAAGACCGTTCTTGACTTCTGTCCATTTATACAGCAGATAAATGTATTCTCACATAAAGTTATTCACAGACGGACTTTCTCTTTGTGGTGGGCACAGCACGGATAGCCCATTGTGTAGTTTATTTCTTAACAATAAACAAACAAATAAGACCTCCTCTTCTATCTCTGTATGCCAATAAGTCTATATTCTTTTCAAGAAATTATTATATTAATCGACCACATACATTAAAAATACAATAAAGCGTGTTTGAAAGGCAAAACTTTTAAAATTCATTCCATTCTGTGCTTATAAACTGTTTTACAACAATGATGTTTTTTTAAAAAGATATAGTTTTCTTATTTATTTATGGCAAGGCTACTAAAGCTATCTGTCACAGTACCCACTTTTGAGTTACTGGTCAAAAGGAAGACAGCCGGTTAGCAGTACCTTACCACCCACCACCCACAGCTTAAATTACGATGAATACTTTGTGGTATAGCACGGAGAAAAATGTTGTAATTTGGAGAAATATATGATTACCCGTTTAGTGCTGTGAAACTGAACTTCTTTGAACGTGAATCATCAACAAAAGTACAAGAAATTACCACATATTGTTGTTTGAGGACTTATAAGGCTTAAAAGTCTTGGTTTACAAAAACTGACACATTTAAGTACAGAAAGCTAAATCTGATTGATAATTCGAAAAAGATTCATAGGATCTTCGTTTAAATTTACCTCCCCAGGTGGCTTAGCGGGCACGGCTGAAAGTTTATACCACTTAAAACCGGGTTTCGATACTCGTGCTGGGCACAGCACAGATGTTACATTGTGTTGCGTTGTTATAAACAGAATAGTCTAAGTGTCGTTGAATATTCCAAGATATCAACTTTGAAGAATAAGTTCAAAAGAAACATTACTAGAAGGTACAACTTCTGCAATGAAGCTTTTTTTACCCGTATCAATAAGAATGAAGTAGGCCTTAAATACAACTTCGTAATTTAAATTAAACTTTTAAATGACGGCAGCTTTGTGGAATAATTAAACTTTTAAATGACGGCAGCTCTACAAATATATTTATAGCTTTGTGGAATTATTAAACTTTTAAATAACGGCAGCTCTACAAATACATGTACAGCTTTGTGGAATAATTAAACTTATAAATGACGACAGCTCTATAAATACATGGACAGCTTTGTGGAATGATTAAACTTTTAAATGACGGCAGCTCTACAAATACATGTATAGCTTTGTGGAATAATTAAACTTATAAATGACGACAGCTCTACAAATACATGTATAGCTTTGTGGAATGATTAAACTTTTAAATGACGGCAGCTCTACAAATATATTTATAGCTTTGTGGAATAATTAAACTTATAAATGACGACAGCTCTACAAATATATGGATAGCTTTGTGGAATAATTAAACTTTTAAATGACGGCAGCTCTACAAATACATGGACAGCTTTGTGGAATAATTAAACTTATAAATGACGGCAGCTCTACAAATATATTTATAGCTTTGTGGAATTATTAAACTTTTAAATAACGGCAGCTCTACAAATACATGTATAGCTTTGTTGAATAATTAAACTTATAAATGACGGCAGCTCTACAAATATATTTATAGCTTTGTGGAATAATTAAACTTATATATGACGGCAGCTCTACAAATATGTTTATAGCTTTGTGGAATGATTAAACTTTTAAATGACGACAACTCTACAAATACATGGACAGCTTTGTGGAATAATTAAACTTTTTAAATGACGGCAGATCTACAAATACATGGACAGCTTTGTGGAATTATTAAACTTTTAAATAACGGCAGCTCTACAAATACATGTATA